TCCTAAGGTTTTACTTGTTTTAACTGCACTTTCTGCGTAAGTGAAATAGGTTATGTTTACAATTTGGAGACTGAAAAAAAGAGGAAAATGCGATAAAAAGAAACGACTCTCACATGTACCAATATTTTCCTTCGAAAATGCCTTCGGGAAAAATGCAAAAAAAAAAATTACTTTCTGTTAACTTAGCAGATATTTTGTATTTCGTTATCTCTCAATATTTTAAGGTCAGGGTTTGAATAAAACAGTATAAAATAAAATACGATTCTTGATAATAGTTTAATTAATTAAATGTATCTTGCGTCATACTTAATTAGAGATTTATGTATCTTACAAAGTCATCACAAAAGGTATTTGCTACTTAAAATACAAGTAGTTTTTTTTGTATGATTTTGATATATTAATATCTATTATAAATTATTCACAAGTATTGCCATTCTATCTAACAAATACGTAGAAGTTTGCTAAACAGAATGATGATACTTGACGTATGCTATGGCTGCAAGATCTTTGCAAATTTCCTCCGTTACTACAGCGCTTTCATATAGAATGTTCTCTTTCTCCCTAAAACACACAAAACATAAAAGAACAGTTAATATATAATATACATATTTAAAAAAACGTGTAATTTTGTATAAATTGTTTATAAAATAACTTTTTATTTTAAGCTTCATGAATATAAACCAGATAGTAGAATTTTATCTTACAATTAATTAGTTTTAAAAAGCAGAAGTTTACTTTGACAGAGTTTTAGCTTGATGATTAATTATGAATATATTTAGTGCAAGAAAATAAGAAAAAATATCAATCTGTGATAAAATGGATTAATTCCACTCACTCTTCTTGAGAACAGGTACTCAGCAATCTTTGCCTCGTCTCCGCCAGCATCATCTTACTCTCCGGTGTCTTTGGTATTTCGCTAACGAGCTGCTTGACAACCTTCTGTAAGCACGAGAACAGACTCTTCGTGCCGGGTATCAGAGGTAGCAGGGGATTCAGCAGAAACTCGTGCAGGTACGGGTGCGGGAGTAGCGCCAATCTGGAGATCAATCCTGTGATCTCTAAATTGACTTCGTACGTCTGTTTCGGCATGTTGCTGGTCTTGTCGAAGAGCATGCTCAGGAACGGTCCCATGTAAAATCGGCCCGAGCAATGATCGGCTTCCGGTCGCGAGTCGGAACTCGCGGAGTCGTCTACCATTACCGCTTCCAACGGCCACGCCATCAGAGCGCAGTCGGAAAGCACCGAGGTGTACTGCTGCTCCCAAGCTGGCATGTACTTCTCGTAGTTATTGACGTCCGGATCTGTTTGCAAGTAACGCGGCATCAACGACAGGAAACTGAAACAAAGATCATTTCATTGTTATTTTCGCATTCTTGTGCTCTTTGTTTATCTAATTCCTTGAAGATAAAGAGCGGCACATCTTTGCATTTAGACTCGAGCAATTAATGCCTACACACTTATTTATGAAAGATCTTTTTATTAATGCAATATTCTTAATTAATCATATTTTACCAATTGATAACTCGGTGGATATTACTCGGTGCCAAAGTACGGCTGTGATTTTGCTCGTAGGAAAGATCCAGAGATCCTTTCTTCTCCTTCTCTCTTTCGTCCTCCTCGTCGCTCCATGAAGCGATAGCACTATCGGCAGCGGTGTTATCGTAATACGCTCGCGTGGACAGATAGATCAGTAAGAGACAATGCAATATGTGCTCATTTCTTTTGTCTATTGCCTCTTCGAACAATTTCAACGTTTCTACCGTGAGATCGTTACTGTCCGTGAAGCAGTTCTCTATCAGTCTGTGCAATACCGGCGACGTCCACACGTTTGGTATTTCCGAATCTCTGTCTTGTCCGACCAACCAGTAACTCACCTCTGAAAAATCGTTAAAGGTATATAGGGTAATCAAATAATATATATTTTCGAAAATTTTGAAACTCGAGATATAGAAATTTCTTAAGAATAGTTTTAGCTGAGAATTACGTTGTAAACTGCTCTTAGATGGATATATTAAAACTTGCGAACTTCCTAGAGATTTTATTTTGTTTTAGATGGTTTTTAGGATTATCGCGCACATACCTGTGCACAGTATAGAGGAGGTAGTTTCCTTCAAGCACTTGGCAACAAGAGCTGTGATAAGTACGACGTGGTGATCGGCCAAGGCGGGCGTCACTATCCTCTCGAAGAACATCACTCGAATGGTCCTCGCCAATATCTCGGCGAGTTCCAGCTGAGCTTCCCTGATCAGCTGGTTGCAGTAGTCGTACCACATGAAGAATGCCGCCACTTGCCGGCAACCGGGAAACTTCTTTTCCTGGGTCCATAGCGGCGAGTCCAGGCCCCACGTGACGTCCACGTTGTAGATATCCAAGTGGTCCACGTGCGCCGGGATGGCATTGAACAGATTCTCGAGACGCGTCGAGACTATCGTTGATAGCTCGCTCCTGGCCACCGTTTGCGCGAACGAGGGATCATCCAGGGACGCCAGGACCATTATTCCCTCGCACGCTCGTATTCTCACGGTGTTGTCCTGGAAACGGGGAACAGGGAAAGAACGATTGATTATTACATTTTATGATTACAATCAGCTAATTGGTTAATTTTGTTAACAGAAAGGATGCAGCGTTCTTTACCGCGCTATTTAAGTAGCTCATCAGGGAATCCAGTAAGAGACACTTAGACTTTTCCGGCATCTTCGGCGACTTTAAACTCTGACTATCACCCGCCACGTAGCTCGCGTCGTCGTAGACACTGCAGTCGGTATCCAACCGCAAGTCGCGCAGGTTTTGCAGATGTTCGTCGATTTTATTCCCGGAGTAGTCTCCCCCGTTCTTCTCCTCCCATTGCCCGTTGCTCTTCGTGTCCAACGAGGGCGAGTCGCAAACGGACTTTTGGGCCAGGGGACTCGACGAGATGCTCTCCTCCCTCGAGGACACGGACTCGTTCGACCTTCTGGACAAGCGTCCGGGATCCGACGCGGTCGTCTTGAAAACATGATTCGAACGTGGTAGTCTTCGGCGTTCCTTATCAAAGAGATTTGGGCTGACCAACGTGATCGCTTGGGTGTCCAAGGGCTCGAACAAGGGATTGGAATTGTTTCTCTTCCTAGTCGGGACATACGTCACCCTCTGGATCTCCGTCCTCTCATTATCTTTCTTGGCTGGATTGTTGACTGCTTGCACAACTGGCGCGTCATTGATGATGTTGGTCACGTGAGGATATTTGCACACCAGGAAGCAGATCGTTAACAGAAACTGCACCTATAAAGAGAGCAGATATTTCTTTAGCAAATATTAATATTTGCCAATTGATCGGTGTAAACAATTTTGATATTACTATCAACTAAAAAGTCAGTATTTTTATACTAATCCTTCCATTGATGCATGTGATTTTAGTATCAATACATGAATTCGAGATACCTCGTTAATTATTTCAAATTTGAGATATAATTAGTGGTGACAACGTAATAAATTTCGATGAGGACAGTAAAGAAAAATTTGTCGAAGAATACACTAATTCTATTCGCCGAAAATAATTTCTCTGAATCTGCAAATTATTATGACAATTAATTTTTATCTTGTGATCAAGGCAGTTATATTTTGTCCGTCAATGCAAAGTGTGTTGAGAATAGATTATCTTTCTTTGGCAAAAGATTCATATTTCTCCAAGCAAGGTAGAAAAGATCCACGAGGAGGGGAGGAAGAGAAATTAAAATAAAGAGCCTTTTCTTTCTTGAGATATCAGACATTTTTAAAACATTCGCCATTCACTCGCTTCGGAAATTAAAAACTTTTTCAAGTGATTTATGACTAATATTTCTGCAATTGTGATGTTTCAGGAAATTATTCGTAAATTATTTATGCACGAGAGAAATAATTTATGAATATTACATTAGCAAAATTATTCACAAATAATTTATGAATAATGATAATGAATAATTACGTCTTTCGTGCAAAAGCAATAGCAGGCGTAAATAACATCGTACGAAGCTATATATTGTAAGAAATAACCGTTTTTTTATTTACAAATCTATTAAATATTGTCTCACTTTGTAGAATTATTCTATATTTCTTAATTCTTTCCTGAGATATTAATAAGTACATTTATATGTATATCTGCATATATTCGTTTATTTCTAAAATTAGTTTCTTCAACAAAGCTTCTCTATTTTACGAGCAAAGCAAGCTCCGCGTTCGTAGAATTGAATAATTGGCCACGGGCAATAAAGCTCTGGCGTTTTCATATAAAATATACGGCTGCTGCAGCAGTAATTTTGCTGCAACAGCGAAAATTAAATCTACATCTTGAAATCGCGCTTAAACACGATCGGTGGCGTGATACCGAGCGCGGCCGAGGCTAAACGAGATTAACCGAACCCCGATTATCCCGAACCGTCCATTCGCAGCTCAAACGTCTCGCGTTGTGGTGACGCCGCGTACGCGCATTGTGCCTCGTAACTCGCGATTTTTCCCCGATTTTTGCAAGACAAAGCCGATCGTCGTTCGTGATTATCGCCGAGCGTCCTGGGACGCTATCGAGGAGAACAACGAGTGCGCGAGTACATCGAGACATCTCGGAATCGCGGGATGCCGCAGTCGTGTGCGCGACGCACAGCGAAATAGAGGGGGAGAAAAAAAAGCTAGTCGAGCCGAGAGTATCGTACATTTTCAAAGTGTATTTCATTTCACGTCGGTTAACGTGCGCGCGTCTCGTGACGCGCGTGGGCTCGAGGAGGAGAACAATCGCGAAACAGTGATCGGAAAGTGGATCGGCTTTCTTTCCCTAGAAAGACGAACGATGCGTCGACATTTTGAAATCGACGCGGTGCCGCGGCCAGCCGCGGTGGCGCGAAACCGAGCGCGGCCGAAGAGGCGCGGGACCGGCCGAGCGCGCATTCGAAGCGTACCGTTTCGCGCCGGCGGACGTGCGAGCGTCGACGTGCGATTCCGCGAGATCTGCGTGCGGAGCGAAGAGAGATCGGAGGCCGATATCCTATCCGAGATCGTCTCCGGGACTGTTTCCCGTCGCTGTGCGTCATCGGGACGAATCGTAGGCTCGACGTGCGTCGTAAATACGTGCTTCGAAATCGCTGGGGTTAGCCTCGCCGCCACCGTGGGCTTCGCCCGGCCGACGCGACGACGTGAAGGAAAGTGAAGTTGGCCGGAGATCGCGACTTTCGGAACTTCATCTCGTTTCGCGTTCCGTTGAACGCGTGGAAATCTCGGGAGTGTTTGTGAGCGATTGTGGACGATTGTGAGTGAACGCCAATTCTGGAAAGTGTATGCTGGCTTGGCTACCGCGTCTTTCGATTCTACGGAGCGACGAGGATTAAGTTTTCCACGACGAGAAGGATACGGAGCTGCGGAGCCAGAACGGGATGCGGCGGATCCAGTGAGCTGCTTGCAGATTACGTAAGTAAATGTATAAATTTTTCAAATCAACTTGTAAATGAGCGTCGAGCGCAGCAAATAGACCGTCGGTTTAGATACGCGCCGATTGGATATGACAAGCGAGCCGAATAAAAGTATCGATTAAGAAATAAATCGGAAAACTGTCGAGTTCTGCAAATATATACGAAAAAGAATGAGAGAGAATAACCGTTAATGTTTATTTCTACCGATGTAGATTAACTTTAAATCTCGAGGTTAGTTTTTTTTTTTTCGAACTTCTTGAACTGGTGCACATTAAGGTTATTCTACATAGAAGTCGTAGTCGTGAGTTGCAAGAAATTGACCAATCACAGATTGAATCTTCTCCTCAACTTCGAATGTGATTGGTCAATTTCTTACAACTCACGACTACGACTTCTATGTAGAATAACCTTTAATGTAATAAGTTAAGGTGCCAATTTATGAGACGCTGAAAATGAGCGTCAACAAGCGTGAACGTGATGATTTCGCTTTGACGCTAGCGTCAAAGAAATAGAGTTGAATTTGTTTAATATTCAGCGTAAAATATTAATTATTTTCAAGTGATATCTTCAAGTAATAATATTTTATGGATACATATATAAAAGATATTATTTCTTGAAGATTTTTGCTTGCTGAAAATGAGCGTCGAACGTCAACGTGAAAAGGCACCTTTAGAGTGAGACAAGTATATTTTTTTTTCACTCTAACCTATTGCACCAATACGCACACCATTCAGGAAGTTCTTCGAAAAAAGAACAGTCGGTCGGTTCAACTTACTTTTTATCTTTCTAGTTCTATGAATTAGATAATTAGAAGATAAGAAGTAAGTTAAACCGGGATTAAAGTTAATCAACATTAATAGAAATTGACATGAGAAAATAATAATTTTTAAAACTCATCTTAGGCAAAGAGAAATAAAAGTTTTCTACTCCTATTTTTCTAGAAACAATTTTTGCTTTGATTAAAATTCAAGTGATCTGTTTCACAAAGTCTGTTTCGCAATTGACGTGTAAAATACTGCCTTTACGTGCAAAATATTAATTATACAGAGCAAGGAAAGTCTCTTTAGGTAATTGTGATTCCTCGCAGTCGTAAATTTCTCGTTTTGTTGGCGAATTCGGACCAAACTCTTCCAAGTATCTCGCACAGTGTCGTAATAAATCGCAGTGAATCGATTCGTTAACTGTACCTCCTCGGCCTCGATCGGCGACGGTGGGTTACCGTTGCAGAGTGCCACTAATCGTTGTATCGGCGCGTAGATGGACGCGTGATGCAACAAGGGATACTTCGACCTGCCGAGAAGTTTTCGCAGAAAGCCGAGGCAGACCGTTCGCATGCCAGGTGGCGTCTCCGCGCTGGCCAGAGTCGCCAGGAGGTCCAGGAGTTTGTGCTGCAAGAGATACTCCAGGCAAGGCCCCGGTTCATTCTCCTCCTTCTCCTCTTGCAACAAGATATCCAGCAGCACGTCCAGATGTCGGGGTATGCTGGTGTTTTGCACGGGCACCTTGCAATCGGTCAGATGACTCACATAGAAGTTCATCAATTGTTTCCAGTGGTAGGTGAAGTCCTGCAACGGTGTCGCCGGCGGGGCTATCTGGAAACGCAGAAGGAAATATGTTGAATCGAGATATGCAATACGTAATTTATTTTCCGGAGTAATCTGACGAGATTTTCAACAACAAGTTTAAAGGGTAGCAAAAGTATCGGGCGACAGTTTTGAAATTCGTACGTTTAATCAGAAGGTCGTGAATTATACATGCAACAATTAGGTCGAGAATTATCAATAATATTAATTGTAAGTCAAATACGCATTAAAAAAAGTTGTCAAGATATAAATTATAATTATGAATTTAATTTCTATATAAACGCGATTGACGATCAATTTGACTTAAGCAATTTTTAATTTCAATCGCATTTTTTATCATATAAATGTATAAAAGAACGCGGAAGAGATTAGACTCGCGTAAAAGGAATATTTTTAAGTAAAATTGCACTCGTGATAAATGTTATCGGTAACTCCGAATCGTCAATTTACGTTGCCCGACTCGACGCGAACGCCCTTACTTTTCGTTCAGACGGAAAATAAGGAATTCCGCAAGCAACATTTCATATTTATTTTACTCTTATATTCTATCGACTTATCGTATATTTTTTTCATCCATTTATTTTTGCGTATTTGCTTTTGTTTTTATCGTATAAGTTTTATGACTCACTGATGGAGTTGAAAGAAGTGTCGAAAGATTCTCTGAAATATCGAAAGATATACTTTAACTAAAAAATTTGAAGAGCATCTCTAACTTTGGAAACATTACGGGAATAAATGTACGAATGCGGGAGAATATATACTGTTTTAAAGGAGCAACCTTAATCTAGTGTACAACCTACGTTCGAGTTTAAATGAATTCTGTCTATGGACTCTACTGTCAGTCCACATATGTCGCCCTGATAGCAACTCAATGCGGAAATATATTACGATACGAATGCCCTGGTTCGTAAACACTTCCTTTCCGTCAATATATCGTGTTCGATCAGTTTTTCTCAAGCGATCGCAAAATCGGGCGCGCCGTATCAAACGCCGCACGCAACCCGTGTCAAGGTTCCTCTCTCTCTCTCTTGCCGCGGGAGGAAAATTCATTAGCATATTCGTTATCGCGGAGCGCAAGGACGGAGCGCAACTGCGCGATTCGCGCAGCAGACCCCGTCGCCGTCGCCACCACCGACCGATTATCACTCACCACGTCAATGGCATTCTTCAGGGCGATCTGAATGCCGCTGATCATGTTAACTCGCTCGCGGGGGATACACACTCGCGCGCACAACACCCCTGCTCTCATCCGCGGACTCGCGTGACGTTCCCGCGTAGCAGTGCCGTCCAGTCGCGCCTCATCGCGCGGCGAAACGGATTTTTCCCCGACAACGACAGCGACAGCGGCTTTCCGCGACTTTGACGTGTCCCCTTCCCGGTTCCCTCCATGATGACGATCGAAGGTGCACCAGGTGGCGACACCGGGCTCACGTGCGCGCCTGTGCGAGGGGTACACCCGACGATGTTAATAGACACGCGGCAGATGATATCGCGGTACGACCGAGCGCCTTGTGTCCATTAATTCTATAAACGAGAAAATACTGTTTGGTCGGATGCTGCATCGACTTTTTTATAATATAAAAGAATTAAAAATTGAAGATATTTTTGTCTTGATATTATTTTCAAAAATAAAACTTATCCGACCCCCGGGTCATTACACAGATTTTAACGTGACCTTCCTGATAAGAAAAATCAGGAACCCTTACGTTAAAGCCTTGTGTCCACGATGCTAAAATATGAAGACAAAAATATCTTCATTTTTAAATTGTTTTATATTATAAAAAATCGACGCAGCATCGACTAAACCGCAAAACCAATATTTTCTCGTTTATAGAATTAATTTTTCCAAAATGTGTAACTTTTCATATAGAGCAATTTAATAGCAATGAAAAGAAATGTCTGTTTATTTGTACGATAATTTATTCTCAACAGGAACTTGTTCCTTAACAACAACGTCAATAATGTTCTAAGTGTAAAAAAGTCACTAGTTCGAGGGCGATATTGATGACGTACGTGTGTATACTCGCTCACTCACACTCGCTTCCCTTCTCTCTTCCGCTTTCTCGTTTCCATAAATAATTTCCAGTGACGACGTCTCACACGGCAGTAAGGAGGAATCACTCTCAAATATCGTTGTTATACAATATACATTTTACATTTTACTTTTTATTAAAATATTTTTTTCCTCAGAGAAAGAAAATATTTTTAAAAATATTATCTCTAAAACTTTCTTTTCTATGTAATCTTACGGATAATGGAATATAATTTTTGCTTATAGTAATAATATTATCTATAAATCCATCGATTAATACAAATTCATCTTCATTAAAACCGAGGATGAGATATAAGATCGAAAGTATTAAGCAGGAAAATTATTTTAATCTCGTGTCACGCTTCATTAGCTTTTGACTTAAAATTATATTTTAATAAGTACTCACCGACTTGAGTGCTCGCAGTCGTCGCAGCATAGCGACGAAAAAAGCTCGCGAATTTTATAAGAATTGCCGGATTTCCGAATTTTGAAATGTACACGGTGTCGTTGAAAACAAGCGCACTAAAAAACCGACGCCACTCTCGAACCTTATCATTTATCTCATTAGGCTTTATCGCGATAATGATAAGGAGACACACGCTTGATTAATAGCCGGCAATATTCCCCGAATGCTTTATCTCGCATGCAATCATCAGAGATATGTAATAACTTAATAATATAATATACAAGGCGGCGTAAATAAATAAAAGATAACTAATATAGGATGAAGTAAATTTAATTTCTTTTTAAATAAAATTGTTGAAGATAATTTCGAACTTTGCAACATTAA